GCTTCTGCTGCTGTTGCTGAGGCCTGCGGGCGTTGCCCCTCTGCGCGCCGCCGCGCTGGGCAGCACCCTTCTGGCCGGGAGCGCCGCGAGCGCCCCTTTGCTGCAGAGCGCCCTTTGCTGCGCCGCGAGCGCCAGGACCCTTCAGGTTCGTCACCTTCTTCGCGCGAGGCTTCTTGCCAGTCTTGATGTTGATCATGCCCTTCGCAATCGCAAGGTGGTTGATCGCGTGGTCAGACGCAGCCTGGCAGCGAAGATAACCAGCAATGCAGAAGGTCGTCGTCGTACCGTTGATCACACCGTTGGCATCCACATTCGCGATGGCAATCTGCACGGCGGAGTGGTCATACGACGTGATGAGGTTATTGGTCGCGTGGCACTTGCGCGGAATGTACAAGTCCACGTTCACGCCCTCCTCGTTGAGCGTACCGATCGTCGTCATTTGTGAGAAGCGTGCAAGCAAAAAACGTAATACCCTTGCGGGAAAAGCATGAGGCAAACAGAAACAAAAATATATGAGTGAAATGCATGAGGCTGAACCAAATTTCAACGGAGGTAAAGACGACCAAAAATCTGAGAAACAAAAACGACAGGAACAAAAAAAAAAGACTTTGGAAGACTATGGAGGTGGAGGTGAAGATGTACAGAACTTCATAATGAGATTGCAGCAAGCGCGCCAGGCAAAATTCTACAAGAAAACTTCTCCGCCCCCTTAGTTTTACTCTGATGCTTTCTCCCAACCTTCGTCCTCTTGGTGCTTGGCATGTCACTTCTCATCACTGAAGGTCATTTGTTTGAGTAACGCCTCCAGGGGGTCATCGGAGTGCGCGGCTTGCGGCGCCGGTGCCGGTACGGGTGGTGGCTCCGAGAAGTAGTACTGCACAGGCGGCTGTGTGGATGGCACGTGGGGGCTGCCGTCCTCTGGCGTGAGTGGAATACCCACCACGGCGTCGCTTGCCAACGGCGCCGCTACGGCAGTCGGGCCAGAGCAAGTCTCACCGTCAATCAAGCGCAGGGCCGTAGCGAGGCCGCCCTCCGCTGTGGGTTTGTCTACCAAACCCGAATCTTCCGCCACACCGAGCAGAAGCTCCGCCCGCTCGTAGTACATCTCCATTCGCTGCCGAATTTGATACAACAAAAAGCGCCTTTCGTAGGTGTTTTCGGTGGGCACCTCGTCGGCGACAGCGGCAATGATTTCCATGGCGGTAATATAGTTGCGCGCAGCCACGAGAGGGTTTCCGTCCGGCGTCTCCTCCTGACGTGCACGACAAATAAATTTTTTTGCCTGCTGCACTCGTGCAGCGAGTGCAGTCATATTTATTTCTTTTCCGGCTGCTACTTCAATCTTCTCTCAGGTGAAGAGAGCCTGGTCAAGTACTGAAGAGTTCCCGCTGGCGCGCCTTCGCACACATGTTTCAATTGTGTGGCAGAGAGAGAAGAAAAGGAGCATAATTTGCCAAAAAAATCCACCAACGAAAACGCTGACCACCGCAACGTCGTTGCCTGAAGTGCCGTTGAATCGGCCCTCCAGAAATGACGTGTGGCATCTACAACGCAAATCCCTGTTGAGTTTGACACAAAGTAAAAACAAGTAAATATAAGTGGCAGTCCACGACTAAACATATCAATGTAGACGCCACATATAAGCACACACGCAGGCGTGCGCACACTCAACAGCAATAACAATAAAAGGGGACTAGGAGGGAAGACATGAATTATTATTATTTTTTGTTGTTATTCCTTGAATTTTGTACATGGCAGTTTTTTTCCTCTACATTCTACATACACATGCACCCAGAAAAAGCGAGAATAAAACTGAAAGAGTTGCCGCATTTGGTGGTGCGTGCGCCTTCTCTCTTCACTTGCGTGTTTCGTTTTCCCCCCTCCCCCTTGCTGTCTTTATTGGTGTTTTTTTCTCCTTTACACTATTCATGGGCTTAACAAATATTACAGCTCGGGCTTACTAGTGCAATTTGTGACGATGAGGGTCTGCCTTGTCCACAGCAATGCGCTTTTCAATGGACTTCATTTGCTTCCATGTGTGTAGGTCCACAATCCTTGAATCGGGTTTCTCCTTCAAAAGGTTGCCGTGGGAGTTGCGCAAAGACTCAGCCTTTTTTGTACGGCGCGTCAGAGTGCCCGCCATCATCTCCCCCGCGCACGCTAATCGTCGTTCCCCACCGATGTCCCCCGCACCGTTTCCTGCCAAATTCGCCGTGTCCGGCAGTTCTGGCAACACTCCTTGATGAATGTGGTCACTTTGGTAAGTGCTCATATTGACGTAACCCTCGTTTTCAATACGTCGTGTTATCCCGCAGAAGGGCTGCTCTATCCTCTGAATTAGGATGGGGTTCGTCTCGTCTGGCATTGGGTACGGTTTGCCAGCCGCCCTCTTCTTCCCCGCAAGAAGAGCAAGCAGGGCTGCCTTGTCGTCCATCGTTCCTATGAGGTGCGCATTCGGGGATTGCTCAATGCTGCGCGGCAGCTGACTCGGGTAGGCCAGGCTCTTGTCACCATACACCCACGAGTTACAGTAGTAGTCCGTCGGGGGGCCACCCATGGTAGTCAGCTGTGATCTGCGGGAGGCAAACAAATCTTCCTTTGGCGGACGGTACCTGTCCTCAGACGGGTACCCCTTCAGCAAAAGGGATTCTTTGGAGGTGATCTTTGGCGGCAACACACTATCAGCCTTGAGTTCTTCCTCTGTTGGGGGGATAAGGAGAAAATCAGAATTAAATGCGACGGTGCGGGCACCAGCGTAAAGGGTTGGCTTGCCGCTAGCAACAGGACCGCTGTTCTGGTAATCTGTCTTGTAGACGGAGATTGGGTGAGCGCCAGTCGCCGTGGCGTGTTTCGCCAGCTCCGGGAGATAGTGATCCCTCACAAAGGCAGAGGTCACGTCATGTTCCCCGCAAGCTGTCTGCAAGAGCCCAGACATGTCCTTCATATCCCTGTTGTGCCGCACGTAGTCTGTTAGGTAGGTTGTGTCGTAGACGCCGTCCGATGAGTGGGCAAAGCGAAAGATGGGACGGTTGCGCACATCCCCGCTCACTGCGTCGCCGCCAGAAGTGCCGTCCCCGAGGCCTCTACTCTCAATGTCCCGATTGTAGTCGTAGTCGTACCGCGTCATGAAGAGGTCCAGCATGTTTGGTGGCGGGTGGGGTGGCAATTCCCGCCGCGGTTCTGTCTTAGCTACGGGCATCGTGCTTTTCTGCCGCACTTTTTCCCCTTTGCTTCTTCTTCTCCCCCTCTCTTCCTTTTTCGTATGTCTTCACTCGATTGCGGGGCGCGGCGGAGGCCGCTGCACTCCACCCCCTTCCTCTCTTATCTCCCCAAAGACACAAGCACAAATAAAAACAAAATTCACATAAATAAATCACCAACTGAGACATTTCATTACGGAATCACCCCCGCAGGCACTTCCTCAATACTTTTTCAAATCTATCCCGCCCCTCTTCATGTCCTTCCACGTCCCCCGCACGGTGCGTCGTATCCAACAGAGCAGTCGCCCACGACGAGACGACCCCCCCCCCGCCCAACTTTCCGCCGAAAGTGTCATGCTCACCGACATTCACCAGTTTCGTTTTCAACCAACAGCTGAACGATGCGGTGCACTCGCATAGGCCGTCCTTCTCCCGCATGCTGAGAGGCGCTTAGGCACACGTGTGCATCGGCACTGCAATCAGTAGTATTGCTAGCAAAAAAACTCTTGTGTCTTTGCAGGAGGTCAACAGCCTCCAGCATGCGTCGTTGCGAATCCGTCCCGTAGTATTCAACAAACGCAAGGGGTTGTTGCCGCTGATCCTCCTCAGAGAACAGCTGCATTTTCCAGTACGCCACAGCCTTCAAAAAAGAAGTCAAAAATAATGACTGCGGAGCAATCTCCCCGTCTGACATGGTTGATTCATTGCCTCCCCATCGCCCCTCCGATGCCGCTTGCGCCGCTTCCTCCTCCAACAATACAAACGGATGCTTGTCGCCATCACCTGCATCGGAACCAGCAAAGCTGCGATCAAAGTTAGAAATACCCTCAAATTTACCGTCGCACTGCACTGGTGGTAAGGAAGTTGATTTATCGGTATCTGGTGAGTGAATCTCCCTCTTTACTTGATCATCAAGCTTTGGGGCAGATATCTTAGCGAACAGAGACATAAGCTTGTCTTTTCCTTCAACGCCGCTCAGCACGGTCTCCTCTTGATCTCCATCCAGCCGCAGGAGAAGGCGGCCCATATGAACACCAAGTACCGTCGCCACCCGTCCCTCGAAAGACGTCCCGCTCATCCCCACGAGGTGGTCACCATGTAATACGCCGAACGGTTCGAGAGTACCTGCAGTGACGTCGTAATTTGTGGCAACGTCAGAGGCCGCAGTGCAATTTTGTTTGCTGCCATGAGGCAGGAGTGAAGGCTCACGTGAAACTGCGCCACCATCCGTTGGGTTAACCTCCGAAACACGTTGCCACTTGCGGGGGGTGAAAGGTAGTGGTGGTGAAGCAAGTGAGTCACCGCCGGAAGTAAACTGGAGAGAGGCTTCGCTAACCCATTGAATATGCTGCCAGAAACTTTTCCAATTCTCCTCTCCCACCGCGTCTGCAATAGGTAAAACAGGGGCAGTGACAGCGTCTGGCGTCTGTGTCGTTTGCACCCACTCGCAGAGCCCATACAGCTCACACAGCTGGCGCTCGCCATGGCAAGAGCAGAGGGGCTTAATACACGAAAACGCGTTAGCCTCCTCCCCGCAGGCTGGGCCAGTGTTACCGGTCGCAACTTCCACGGAAAACACCCTCAACCACGGCACTCCCCATGCCGCACCTACAAACTGCACATAAGCTTTCCACGCAGACAAATAGTAGACTCTGTCTGTAGAGACATTATAAACCTGGCGTAGCGGGGTCTGCTCCAAGTGAGGGCAAGTCATAGCATCTTCTCTAAGCGGTAGTTTGAAGGAAGGGGTGTCTCTGTTTGCGTCGCCATCTGCCTTTCTAAGGCAGTCGTAGTACTCGTAAAGCTTCATCAAGGAAAGCTGTAGTGCCGGCAGGCAACGGTACATGCAGACACCCCCTTCTGAAACCACCCTCGGCATAGGTAGCAAGAGCACATCTCCGTTCTCACTGTAACCTAGAACAATCACAGTGTGAAGGCTCTCCAAATCCCCAACAGCGATTTCAGTACATGGGGAAACAATTGGCAAATTCGCCTTGTCACCGGTGTAAATTTCTCTCAACATAAGCAGGGTGCCGTGTACGGGTGGCACAGTACTGCCCAAGTCATGCACACACGATGCGTTACGGTCACACTCCGTCCCTCCTGCCTTGACAATCTCCTTCGGAACGCCGTCCTCAATGGGCACACCGTCCCCGTCCTCACTGCATGTGTATATGCTGGCACTGCTCACGTAGCTAGCACTGCACTCAGACTCGGTAAACTCCTCCACCACATCATCATCGTCATTCCCACTCTGTATAATTTCATTACTTCTTCCACATATCTTCCACGTCGGCTGTAGACGATAGGACACACCCAACAAATCTTTCAGAAGAATCTCTGCCGTTTCCATGTCATAACCGGCAAAAGCCATATTGGTCCACGTCAACATCTCTTGTCGCTTCCTACGCCCGTTGTGAGTGAAAACTGCAAGACAAAAGAATAAAAGAGTAAGAAGCAGGCGCAGATACGCGTCACCCATACACACATCGCATGCCCGACTGACCTGCTCTTTTTTTTTCTGTGTTTCAGTCCGTTTGTTTGTTTCTCCCGTTTCTCGCGGTCGCTGCGGGTTTGATCGGAAGAGGTACAGCGCCTCCTCCTTTACGTTTTCACTACCCCCATTTTTCCGCGCGGTGCAAGACCGTTCGACGCCCGTACAAACGATGGTACAGCAGGCGAGGGGGACAAACCCCAATGAAGCTTCAAGAACACAAAGAGAAGAGAGTTGAGGAATGGCAAGGCACACCACCACCAGCACCGGTGCCGCAAGGTGCTGCTGCCCGGCACCCACCCAACCCGCGCATCATACCCAAACATCAGTTCAATGTACAAATATATATATATATATATATATATATATAACTAAAAAAAATTACGTGGTACACTGCAGCGGCCGCCCCCGACCAGGCCCCATGATGTGATCAGAAAGGAAAAAAAAGGTACAGAAGGAGCATGTCGTGGTGGTATAAAAGAAAAATGTACAACGCATACCCCGGGGGCCGCGGGTTGGCTCACAGAGCCCATTTCGCCTAGCACAGATAAAAGAAACAAAATAGTCTCAAGTGCGGAAAGAAACCGAAACACAAGAGTGAAAAAGAGCAAGGGAAAAAAAGATAAACAGAGAGAGTCAGCGACTGTGTGTGTATATATATATATATAGTCGGGAAACAATTCAACAACCAAACACCAAAATAAAACAGCGGAATGAAGAACAAAATATTCATGTACTTAGCCTCCCAACCGCTTTATACCGCGTGAGCTCTGCAAGCGAGGTGTCGGAAGTGCAAGTTCCCTCCTCCTCCTCATCCGCCTCCAATAAGACGGCCGATCGCGCACATACCCGCCAAAAGTCGCGTCTACTGATAAGATGAACCGCGGGTTGCACAAACAAAAAACAAAACAAAAAAGAACGCTGCAAGTGGAGAGAACCAAAAACCTTGTTTTTCACATTCTCGATAACACCGGAAATACCACCACGTTCCTGTAAGGCAGAAAGAAGTAAAATCGAACAAAAAGTAATCCCATAACTCCGCCTATATCACCTTCATGGGCCAAACAAAAAAAGAAAAATGGGCCTCCACATGAAGAGAGTATGGCATTACCCCAGCAAGACACAGCTGTAGCTGCCTATTTCTCCCACAATTGTGCTTACATACAAGAGCATCCACTCTTCATCCTGCACTTCTTCTTTCACGCCGTACTCGGTCCACTCCACCACAATTAGGGAGAAGCAAAAGCGACGGAAACATCATGATCTCGCCTGACAGTGCTGCGATCCCGGCGAGTTTCCGCCGCCGGGTGCGTTCAAGCTGCTGTTGTTTGTATTGTTGCTGGAATATCCTGAGAGGGGAAGATATGCGATCGGAACCGGCGAGAGCTTTGATGCTGAAGCCAGCGGTGAAGAGCCGCAACTCTCCGTCTCACGTGGAGCGCTGCGCAGGCACTGATTCATATGGACGTCCTGTACCACACCTCGACGTAAAAACTCGTTTGCCTTTTGCCTGAACACCTGCCTATTTACCCGATTCCACGGCAGCAGGGGCTTAGACATGGAACTAAACTCATAAACAGGGATAGAAAGGCCTCCCAGGTGTGAGGCGTAGATGTGCTTGTCCTCTGGCGGGGTGTGGTTGACGACAACGCGGTGGAACAAGTCGAGTCCCTCGTGTGCACTGCCCTTGGCAAACCGGGGGTGGAGATGTTTTTTTCCGTTCGGCAAACTCCCGTGCGCCTCAACAACAGCGGTGCGTGGCGGCGGAGACTTGTTGGCTGACTCCTCCTCTTCACGCGCCATATCGATCAGGTAGGATCGAAGATCAAGGATGTACTTGTCGTCCGACTCAGATGGGTACAACGCGTGTTCGAACTGAACAGCGTGCTGCAGCTGTGAACGTCGTGTGAGCTTTCGATTCTGCAATTTCGTCGCCATCGCCTGCAACGCCACCGTGGCAGCGGTTGACGATGTTAATGCTACAGAAGAAGAGGAAGAAGTTGGTGTCTTTATCTCACTGGCCGAATTCTGGCGAGTAAATTCCAACGCCTCCTCGGCCATGCAGCTTAGTTTATGCTGCTGCTGCACATTATAAAACGTGGCACGGTCGTAGACACGCTGGATCACGTGATCCTCCACGTAGTTCCGCAACGCCTCCACGTGCGTGGTGTCCAGCACAGCAAAGTCAGCAAGTGGAGACTTGCTGCAGTAGTCACGTTGGACAGATAGAAGAATGTGCTTCGGATCGCGAAAGCGGCTCATTGCGGAGGCAGTGTACGTGTTGAAGACATGATGGTCGAGGCTTGTGTCGGGCTCCCAGAGGTAGCCCTCGCACGCGCCAATGTACCTCGTGTTATTCCGCAGGTGGTAGGCGCAGTCCAGGCTTGCCATGAAGCATGCATCGAAGGTAATCGCTTCGAACTTCTTGTTTCCAAATATGGCTGCTAGTTCGTGGCACTGCACTCCCACCTTGTCCTCCTCAAGCTCCAGGTAGTCCCCCATGCCGTGGCCCCCGTAGACAAAATAGCTGCGGCCAGGGTCGTACCAACGGTGCAGAAAACGCTCCAGCATGTCCTGAGAGTACCCCACAATATTTTCATAGTTCTTCAACGTATACTCCTGCCCGTCAATGCGGGCCTCAAAGCTGCCACCCTGGCTGTTGAAGGCAAGGATGGAGAGGTCTGTGACACCCTTCACCTTCTTCATTTGCAGAAACTTCCAAAACGGCCATGCCGTTACATCATTAATGGAGCTAAAAAGTACAATCAGTCGATTGCATCGCCGTGAGGCCTTCGCAGACATTTGCCCGGCTCTATCTACCTGATATATATATATATATATATCACACTCTCTGTTGTTGTTAGTTTTTCTTTCTCTCGCTTTGTTTTTGGAGTGCGAGCGGTTTCGCCCGTCTTTTGGCCCACTCCTTCCTCTGCAATTTCAGTAGAACACCGGTGGGTAACTAATGGATTTCCTCCTTCCGCCTCCTTAGCCAAGTTCAGGCGTCACCGCCTGGTTTCCTCCGTTTCCCCCCTTATCCTCTCTGTTTATAATTTTCCCTCGTTTTTTTCTCTACTTCTTCTTGCGTTTTTGCCTGTGTTTTTTTTTTGCCCTTTATTTTTGTCGCCGCAGCCTCTCTCCGCCCGGCCTCTGCGTGTCCCCTGCCGCTTAAAACGACGGACCGCCTCTGCTCCTTCGCCTCTAAACCTCCGCACACAGCACTGCTCGGCGCGGTATGCGCCTCCCTTTCGCTTTCGGCTCCCCTCCCTCTCTCCTCTGATCGGTGTAGGCCCGCAAACGACAACGACGACGAGGCGCTGCGGATGGGGGTGGCCCGCTGATTAGTTCACAAACAATAATTAATTCGGCTCTCAAAAGAACTCCTGTCGCTGCTGAAAGCAGCACTGACGTTGAGGCCGCCGCTCGTGTGTCTATATATATATATATATATAACCACGGAGGAAAGCCGAGGCGGAGGCTGCTGCACCAGCTTCCCCTTCCCTCCTCGTACTTGCGCGAATGCCCCGTCGCCCTCGTTCGCCCTCACACATATTATTTTAGAAGAAAAGGGAGACAAGAAAAAAAAAAAGCTCAGTGACAAACGCAGTAAGAAGACCGCGTGTTGACTCGATACGGTGGTCATCGACACCCTCACACGCCTCCCACACACACGACTCCGTTATTGGGAGAAGACAGGAGAGAGAGGGAATGAAAAAAAGGAAAAAAAAAAACGACGGTAGCAAAGACCTGCACTGGCAATAAAAGGCCCAAGAACAAACTTTGGCCGGGTGAAACACAACTCACTTCATCCATGCGGATGGATACGCAAACTCCTTCTTCCATACACACACACACACCGTCTAATCCTCATCTAATGTCATGTATTTCCATCTATTTCTCTTTCCTGCTGTTGTTGTCACGGTATTCTTTCACCGTCAAGCTTCTCCTTGCCGTCTACGCCGAGAGACTACGGCACTGCGAGTAGTACACCCGCTTCTCCATAGCCCGTATCGCCTGTCGCATGAGATTCACTTCACTATTCACACCGTCGAGGTCCAGTCGGTGTCGCTCCTCGAGGCGCTTCTCTCGCTGCTTTGCACGCTTCAGATCACCTCGCACCTGTTCAATCTCCGCCTCACGTGCGGTAAGCAGAGCGGCAAGCTGCTCTTTTTCCGCCGTTGTAACTGCCCGGCATTCCCCAAGCTCATGCCGAAGTCGCCGCAGGATGGTGTCAGCGTTGTCGCCCACACGTCGCTGCATTAGCTGCAGATCCGCAGCGTATCGCCGGCGATCATTCTCCGCGACGGCCAGGGCTTCATCAAGAGATATGCGAAGCTTCTCTATTGTCCCACGCAACTCCTGTTGTTCAACCCGCATATCGTGGCGGCTGTGAATGAGATCGGCCAGGCTCTTCTGGTGCAGCGCATGCAGGTGGTCGATTGTGGCGATGTACCGTGCCACATCCTCCGCATGCTGACGTGTGCGCTCACGTTCTTCGCGCAAGCGCTTTGTTCGCTCTAATTCATACGTGGCACGCTGAGCATCCAGCTGCTCCTGAAGCATCTGCACCTCTTCACTGAGTGCGGTGACAAGAGTTGAGGACGGTGGGGGCTGTAACGCCGCCTGAACAGCGGCAGCCGCCGCAACGTTCAACCCGTCTTCTCCCGCAGCTGAGGACGGGTGAAGCACTGCCTGCCGGAGGCTCATCGTCCCATTCTCTCTAGTCCTGTCAGCTGATTTATTGCTATTACGGTGGAACGGCAAGTTTAGCCTCGACTTGCCAGTAACAGGGGTTGAGGATGGCCTTACGTCCCCACCATGAGGCCGGCGACGCCCATCCGCCTTCGCAGCGTCCTCCGAAGCGCCCGCCGTAAATGCTCCCTTCGCCTCTTGATGCAGGCAAATAAGCGATGTAAGTCTCATCCGTTCATCTTCTACCTGTGCATGTAGTACGGTGTTCTCATGTAGTAACCGATTCGCCCGCTCCCGCTCCTCTTGGAGCATCAGACGGGCCTCTGAGAGGTCCTGCTGTAGTTTGACAATTTCCTGGTCATGCTTGGCCAACTCGCGGCGCAGACGCTGCGTCTCCGCCCGTTCAGGCTTGACGCAATCCTCAATGCGTTGCACCAATGCCAGCTTCTCCGCATCGTGCCCGCGGATGGTGCGAAGAAGCATACGCACATAGTCGTCGCCGATTACGGCACCCTCGCACGGCTGAGACACGGGCGATGCCACGATGACAGAACTCCCAGCGACGCCCACCGTCATGCATGGGGGGGACGCCGCAGCCAACAATGGAGAGCGATAATTGTCCTGCATGAAAGCAGAGCAGAAATCCACACCTTCTGACCAGAAGCAGAGGGCGGCCCAATACCGGCAAAAAAAAAAAGAGAAAGATGGTAACAGATAGACTTTCATCACAGTTCTCCCTTGTGAAGCCAATGTGTGGCTTCTCCCGTCTTCATGCTGGCTCTGCCTCGCAGCGCTTTAACCCCCAAGGAAAAAGCGGAAAATGCACCTCTGGCGGCGAGTAACAAAGAACACAAAAAAAAAAAAGAAACAGCATTGCTTTTTGTTTTGTTTTTCGTTGTTGTTTGTCTGTTTGTCTGTTTGTTTCTCCTCCGTCTGTTTTTTTGACCCAAAATATATTCACCACCGCTCTGTGTCACCTGTGAAAGCATATTATTTTTTTTTTCTTTTTATTTTCCCCCGTTTGTTTCTCTGTCTTGTCTTGTTTCGCCAGTTGTTCGCACCCTTTTTGATTCGTACATTCATCGCCTACGGCGCATCCCCGCAGACGTCGATGTACCCATGACGGTCAGCATCATACGGCTCCACCAGAAACCGCGCAAATCGCTGCAGTGCAGGGATTCCACGCACCTCATCGCTCAGCAGCGGCATCCGCACCACGTGGAAGTCCTCGTAGAGAGCGTCAATTTGTGCCAAATACTTTGCCTGTATCTTCTGTCGAGACATACACATACGACAGGCTGGCTCGCTCGACGGCTTCAGAACAAGCTGATTCACCACAATGCTATCACAGCTGATGTCGTACTTCATCAGCTCCTGCACCAAGCGCTCTGTCTCGTAGACGCTAAGAAATTCCGGGATGCAGACACACACAAAGGCCGTCTTTTCAGCGTCCGTAAACTGCCGCTGCACCTCCTGCACACTTTCCCGCCACTTGTTAACGGCAGGCATCAGCGACGACACGTCTCCAAGGCTGGTTGAAGCAGACAAAAGCGTGGACGCGGCACGGATCAAGGATTCCAGCCCCTCTAGCGACAACAGCTTCTCGATTGTCGAGTTTACGGTGTGTGGCAGAGCAAGAAGCCGCAGTGTGTGACCCGTCGGCGCGGTATCAAAAATAACAATGTCATAAGAAAGTTGCTGAACCCCACGCAAAATTTCCGCAAACACGGAGAGCTCGTCTATTCCAGGTAGCGTGCCCGCCGCCTCCTTTAGAATACTTCCCAGCACAACGAATGGCGATGGCGCGTTCGTACCCGTTGAAGCGTCAACCGCAGCACTGTGCATGGCGCCAAACCCCGTGTGTATGAGATTTGTAGGGTCCACTTCCATCGCAAAGAGTGTCTCTTCCATGCCCTTCACGGGCGTCGGCGTATTAGCAAACTTCTGACTGAAGGCATCACTAAGATTGTGCGCGGGATCAGTGGAAATAAGTAGCACCCGACGCGGGCGTGTCGTATTCGTCGCCTCATCGTAAATTGGCGTTGAGGCAAAAAGGGTTGCCACGGCGCAAGAGGTGGTCGTTTTGCCCACACCGCCTTTGCCGCCCACAAAGATCCATTGGAGTTTTGACTGCAACAGCCCCTGCAACGTCGGCTCAAGGGACATGGCGTGAACAGAGGCAGAAACACAGCGAGGGACCCACACGCACAGAGAAGGGGACCCCCTCACACTTTTAGGGCACAACAGACACGTTAACACGACCTCGCGGGGTGCAGCCAAGAGACAAGAACACAGCAGGAGGGAAAAAGAGAGAGAAAAAAGACGGAGTGGCGCCTTCACTGCAGATGACGATGCAAAACCAAAAAATGGAAGGAAGGGGACGAATCAACAACAAACAACATTTTAGCGTAATTTATTCTTTTTTTTTTTTTGCAGGCAGCGTGAAATCCTTTCAGGCGCATTGACCCCCTCTTCAGCTCGAAACTCGCCGCAGGGTCACCGCAGCGACAAACGAAGCCCCGCCCGCACCAACTCCAACCTGCGAGCTGTAACGTGGAGCGCCCCAACACTCTCACCAAGAGACAGAGATACCAATAAAAAAAAAAACAGAGGAAAGGCGGCACCCTATACACATCGACAAACCACCAAGCCCAACCGAAAGAGGAAGAAGAAGAAAAAGCAACTTTGCCACTCCACCAATCATTCATCTACCGCATGCGAATCCCCACCTCCGGAAAAAACAAACAAACAAACAATTACCTCCCTTCTGGCCCAACTCCTCACAGCAAACCCCATTAGTCTCTCCCCCGCTTGCTGTCAGTGTTCTCGTAAAGAATTTCGGCGACAGAGGCATCCAGCAAATTTTGTGTTGGAACGCGCCCTTCACAACCCACCCTGCTGCTTCATACGGATCTTGGCTGCTCTAACTGGACCAAGGCGCCTCCATGCTCAGTCCCCCCATTCGCGTCATGAACACTGACACCGAATACGTCATTCAGTGCGCGGCGTCGCTCCCAAGCTCTAGAAAGACTATCTTTTTCCTTGAAGAGTTCCTCGTTGACAAGCGCGTCGCAGAGCCGCAGGTCCAGCGGGACGGCGTAAATGGCATGCAGAGTTTCCAAATTGTGAACGTACTTTTTGTTATCGCAAACGATTCCAAGAAAAGTTTTCCTCCACAAGTCTGCATTCCCGGTGGGAGGAGGGAACTGCGACGTTTCTGTACTGGTCGGGTCGTTCTGCACACACTCCAGTTGAGTGTGCTGGACCTTCAGAAGAAAGCGGCACACAAAAAACACAAAAAGAACAAGTAAAATGAGGAGTACAAGCGCCACCGCCACTATAGCCACTACACGAGAAGGCACCTCCACCCCCCGCAGCTCCACGTCCACGTAAATGTTCGGACGCACCTCGTGCATACTAGGCAGTGGTCCAAACGCAAGACGGAAAAATGCAGTCACAAAGGTCGACCCAATCCACTGCGCTTCCCTCGTTGCCCCCTTTGCCTACGTGTATGCCCTAACAGCAGCGAATCCAGCCAACAAGGAGAACAAAAAAAAAGGGGGGGGGAGGGGAAGCAGAAAGAAACAAATAAAAACGAGAAATAAGGCAAAAAGTATCAACATCACACGCGCTCGACGCGCAAAGATAACGCAAGCCACCACCTCAAACTCCAACGCATCGCTGACAGCAGCCACCAGCCGTCTACCGCCACTACACAGAAAGAAAGGCATATGTTCCACTTGTTTGCTTGCTGCGGAAAGGTTAGAAAGTACAGCACACACTGCGGAGCTACCAGTTTTTCTTTTTTATTGTTATTACGTTTGTGTCATGCAGTTTCTCCACACACACACGCGGGCCTGTAAACCGCACATGCGCAATTACTTCGCCTAGTCAAAATAAATAAAACAGTCGATGAATTACTGTAACGCTTCAATAATAATAAGCGGAATGGAAGTACAATGTGGCTTTCATTCTATCGTCCGTATGGCCGCAGATGTAAGCATTAGGGCAGTACCAAACAAAAATAAAAAGCCATGTCCGCTCCCTCATCGCCTACGCTTCCTTGAGTGCCGACGGCGGATGGAGCCACGGAAGGGCGCTTCTGCAGATGCAAAACCGCCTCAAGGAAAACGAGTAATTTCCTTTTTTTTTCCTTTTGAGGCTCGTTCGCGACACCGCGGAGGCCCCCAGACCTGCGCCCCAAAACGACCCCTCACCACCGGGAGGATCCGCGTAACTGAGCGCACAATCGCCCTCGCCGCCGGACGTGGGGCTCCACCGGCACACCTCCCACACGCATAGCGCACACAGTTCCCCCACGCACCCAACGACAGACCAGGGCACCACATCCGTCGGGTATTCCGCACTGCACCGTCAGAGGCACAAGTACGTTCCTGCGGACGCATCCCCGCCGCCCACGCGCGCCTCTCTTGAGCCCCTCAATGCTGCCTGCAGACCAACTCTCTCGGCTGGCCTCATTTTGGCTCCTTTGTGCCCTCTCCCCACACCACTACGCAGAAGCATCCGAATGCCCGTGCCGCGTGGACCGTTGCAAAAAGGCCCAGGTGACTGTTATGCCTTGGCCTTGGCCGTGCAACGCGTTCACCATCCGCCACAGGAAGCGCACCGACTGCGTGATCTCTCAGACATGCACCAATCAATGGGCAAACGTCAAGTGAAGACGCTGTTGGGCCAGCTCACCGGCAAAACCGCTTTGAAAGCCCTTCAGCGACGGCTACCCGCCTCACTCCGGAAAGTGTGGGGAGCGCTGTGGGCAACGTGTGACACACGCATCCGCACACAAATGTTTTTGCCCTTTCAAAACACCATGCCTTGCGGCAGACTGCACATCATAAAAAATGCAAAACAAAAAAGTATTCTTAAAGTGTTTACATTTGCCAAACACGTTTCTCAACACGCCACCCTCTTTCCGGAAGTTCTAAAATGAACACAATACAAAAAACAAAAACAACAAAAAAGGACGTGAATGGAGTCAACCACCAAAAAAAAAAAAAAGAACCATCGAAGCAAACACTCCTCACCAAGGCAACGGTGGTAGTGCAAGGCAGCGTCCGTCTCCTCTCTCCCTCCCTACACTAGCACACATACACGTACACGCAAACTCATTGCTCCTCCCGCAAACGTCCCCTCTCAGTGAAAACTACCCTTCCCTTCCTTCCGCGCCATCTTCTCAGTGGCCGTTTTCCACCCGCTCACACTCGGCCACCGGCCTCCTCGAGAAGCTTGCTGATGCGCTTTAAGTTGTGTTTTTTTGCCACGTAAAGTGGCGTCCTCCCTTCCTTGTCGGTGAGGTTCACATCCGCCCCAGCCGCGATCAGCGCCTTTGTGATATCAACATGGTCCATGTCGTCGCCTCCGAGCTCCAACACTTCCAGCAGCCCTGTCCACCCAAAATCATTCACCTGATCCACATTGACGCCTGCCTTTATCAACAGATTTACCATCTCTACGTGACCGCGCTCACACGCCGGAATCAGTGCTGAGCCGCCGTAACGATTACGCAGCGTCAAGTCCGGCTTGGCATACTTCAGCATATACTTCATGATCTCCACACGTCCCTCCGCACCAGCAAGAAGAAACGGTGTGTCATGCAGATCATCCAAAAGGTTTATGTCAGCACCTGCCTCCAACAGAACGCGTGCCCCATCCACATAGTTGTCCCATACACAGAGATGCAACGGGGTGCGATTGCGCTCACCACGCGTGTTGACATCCCTTTTGGCCGCTATAAGACGTCGCAAGAGTGTCAGGTCCTTTGTTGCCACAGCTCTGAAGAAATCCGCCTCAGCCACACCCTGCCGCATATTGGCTTGTGTAAATATACGTCTGTATATCCGCCCTGATACAAATACTGGTCGGTGTCCAATGAATCACGTCGTATCCGACAGAAAACGCGTGCAACGAGTAACAGAAGTCAAAAAAAAAAAGAGAAAAACCCGCTACAGTGAAAAAAAGAACAAGAAGATGAGGAGCCGTACCTCATAGTAGGAGACAACTTGCAGTGAGGTCAGCAAGTGGTCAGAGCCAGGATTGGTACTGGACTACATACATGCACGCGTGTGTCTGTAAAGGTACCTTTCCGCCGAAATCCTTCACCCACTCAGAGTTTTTGGCGACTTTTTCTTCCCGTCTTCCGGAGGCGAAGACGCAAACTCATTTCATCACGGTGGCATTTGCAGCAGAAACCACACGCATGCCAGCGAAGCAAAAAAAAAACACAAAACGCAACGCACAAGGCACAAGGCACAAGGCACCACTCACTCCAACCGGCAGCGGGAAGACAGACCAGCAACAAGGGAATTTAAAAAGTTCATTGGGCGTCGCCACGCCAGCTAAAAAGAAAAAAAAAGCAAACCTCCCCCTGCCGGCCACACAAAACAAACTGCAACGGGGAGGCGGGCGGTGCCCCCCACAAGAAGAAGAAATTGACAACAAAACGGAGGCAAAGGGAGGATGGAAAAGGAGCAGAGAAACAAAAAAAGGACATGACAAAAAGCAAAAAAGCTCGAGATCGAGCTTTTTAAAAAATCCAGACAAAAGCCAATAAATAATGAAAGAGACGCCGCCAAGGTACTCCGGGCGAATGTTCAGCCTTGCGGGCCCGTCGAGCATCCACACTACCCCCCAATCCACGGAGAGATGCATCAGTGTCTCCTCGAGCAATACAGCCCAGGGCACACATCACTGACTGGCTCCATCAACTAGACTCTGGAACGGCGCCACTCGGCGAGAGGCAAACATAGATAACGCGTCAGTGAACATTTGACAGCAAACACCTTATAACCAAAAACCAGCACTGTAAGCAGTGGCATAAAAACGCAACTCTTTCCACGGCACAATACGCCACCGCGACGCGGTGGCCTCCCACGCATCGCGAAGAAAACGCTTCAAGCGTATGGCCGACAGTCACAATACACTGCGCGCGAAGTTATGAGCTCCCGCAAGGTCCCCTTTGCATGCATGGGGCGCACCACAGGGACGGAGGCTGCTGCAGCAACGCCACTCTCCAGTGCCGCAACAGCAAATCCCGTTAACAAGGCACCTGCGGGCACCGCGACACGCAGCACGAGAGAAAGAATAACGTACACACTTGGTGCAAACAGCAAGGCCGAAACGGGGATTCAATCCTCCGCCTTGCTCGCCTGAGACCACACCTCCAAGCAGCCCATCAGCAGCCACCCCACCGTAGTCCCCACGCCAGTCAGCACCGCTGGGGCGTATTGACTGAGCCGTCCACCTCTTTGCCAGCATGTGCTGGCGAACGCGGGGCGAGCACTAGGGACCATCACAAACTCCGAGTCAACTCCGCAAAGGGCAAACCGGAGAAGT